GTTAAAATAGTGTTCAATAAGTATACTGTCATCCATGTGTGTACACATTTTTATTATAAACTATTGAAATCAGTACACAAAGTCAGATCAAACTATGGTAAATTTTTGTTTTGGCCCTTGGTTTAATGTCACTTAAGTCCTTCTTGTTCTCATATGTATTTTTGCCAGTCATTTTTGTTGCAACAAGACATGAAAATTAAATATAATAATAATAATTATAATAAGAATAATAACTATTATTATTATTTATTATTATTAGGACAATAACTCAAACATGAGAAAATTATTCATTTCCTGTTTGTTACGTCCTTTAATGGAAATATACTGAGTAGCTGCATGCCAACATCAGCAACCTCACCTGAGCTGGAGCTTCAAAGAGAAGGACAAGTCACAGCAGGTCACTACCTGACATGAACCAAGACTGAGGTTCTGTGGTTAAGAGAAAGCTAGAAGAATGTGTTGTGAAACCACAACACATTGCAATTGCCTATGCTGACAAGTTCCGCTTGTGGTACAGATAGGCCACAGAAGACAACTGCTTGTGGAAACACCACAGTACCTACATTGCTACAGTACTTTCTGAATTGACTGTCCCTTATCATTCTACATAATAAATAAATAAGACATTATACACAATGCAAATTTCAGAAAAGACCATCATAACATCCCCAAAATTCAAGCTGAGTGGAATGATTGTTGATTGGTGTCTGACTATTCAAACTTCAGGTAAAAGTTGATTGGTGTCTTTTTTAACAAAACCTTAAGAAAGAAAGAAAGAAAGAAAGAAAGAAAGAAAGAATCTAAATTTCCTCGACAGTCCTTTTCCACAATCTATCTATTATTCGATAAAATAAAGTTTCAGCAAACTGAGCTGATTAAACTTTCTTTTAAGTTTTATACGCGATAACTTTGTATCAATGAAATTATATCTGAATTCTCAAAAGTCACATGTTGCTACGGTAAATACACAGCACCATTACACTTTAAACAAGGTAAGAAACAAAACAAACAAACAAACAAACAAAAAAAACATTAACATACCTTCGTCCAACAGGTGATTAGTACTCTTGTGCTCAGCTGTTAGACAATACCCATATGTTTGACCAAAACTCAGAGGCTACCGTGTCACTTATCTCTCAGTTAACTTCCACTCCCTTTTTT